TTCATTCGCATCGAACCGCGACAGTACAGGATGGGAGCTTGACACACAAGGCTATGTGAAATGCAATGGAAACGTCAGCTCAACTTATATCATTGTGGCAAAATTCTTCTTCTACCAGTCCTACATCACCTTAAACGAAATTGGGTGAATACATCTCATATTACTGATTTTTCTTCTACCAGTCCTTCATCACCTTAAACGAAATTGGGTGAATACATCTCATATTACTGATTTACTGGTCCTTAAAACAATACTTAAATGCGAAAAATAAAATAACGTATTCGATTGTTATAGCAAAAATACATTTGCTTCATCACAAAATTCTTCTTCTACGATTCCTTCATCACCTTAAACGAAATTGGGTGAATACATCTCATACTACTGATTTACTGGTAGTCACGAAAACAATACTTAAATCGAAAAACAAAATTAAGTCACATCGTCGGTTGCAATGACAAATACATATTTCGAATATCGGCCTCATTGGACGACCATTCTAATTCTCTTTCTGATTATCTGGATGACCTGTCTCAGCCTCGTAAGACTAGTAATTAAACCTGTTGGTTCACAGTCCAGTTTGGTTCCTTTTTATGGCCTGTCTCAGCCTTTTCTGTGACATGAGTGGCTGGTAATGGACTAGTATAATTTATTTGTAAAGCCTGTTATAGTCTGACTTTGACCCTGGAGAAATGATGAATGGATAATCCCAGCAGGACGACTGCAAATTCACTAGTTTCGGCTGAAATAAGACCCACCTTTGCCTAGGCTTGTGCTCTGTCTGGTGCGGAGAGAAACAGTATAGTAGGCATAAGTAATATTATCTCTGATTGAATGAATGGTTGGACAGGCGAAATCCATCCCTTTTTAAATAAATTAACAGTGCCAAGCTTTAGCCAATTAAGACAATTCTTGCCAACAAAAAAAATCTTCATCTTCCTTATATTTTAAAACTAGGTCTCTTTTGGAAATTAGTTGATCCTGATGCATTTAGTTTCAAAGTAGTTGTTCTGACGTTAGAATATGCAAGACCAAGAACTTGGTCATTTAAGGTCACAATCAGATGAGTAGGCCCCAGGATGCCATTACATTTCACTTCATTTGCCTCTCGAAAGACCATCTCTTCAAGATGGTATTGCATCAGAGTTCTCACTTCGATGTTACCACTCTACTTTATGGTCACGGATTCCAGCGAGTCACAGGGCAGATGTGATATTCGAAATATGTATTTGCCATTGCAACCGACGGTGTCACTTAATTTGGTCTGAGTAGTTTTCCAGACTAATTACTTTTTGAGGAAGATGAAGCCAATTGATCTCATTGTTGGAAAACTCAACTGTCATCTTAAGCGACCTAGAGTTACTAAATTCTTATTGAAGAATAAGTGATGATCTCGAAAACCCCTTTTAATGGAAATAAGTATTATAATCGAATTCAATGGCAAACACATTTGCCTATTTTTTGTTTCATAAGTAGGTTTTCCTTTAATGTCTAATTAGTCGTCAATTCTATTGTGAAAGTGATTTGGGAGACAACTGGCTTACTATGAGTGTCATAAATGTCCTAATGGCTCCCTTGGAGATGTACTGGAGAGGTAACGTTGCCATTATACTCACGACCCAGATTCGAATCCTCTGGTGGTGTTGACAAGGTCGGAACTTTCGTCCAACCTGAATGAGATAAACTTTTGTGAGGAAATTCTAAGTGAAATGCAATGGCATTGTGAGACATACTCATATGATTGTGGAAATCCAACTATCAGTCCTTAAATTATCTTAACGACTTATGCTGACTATGCTCTGTGATAGTTTCGAAAACTATTTACATCGAAAGTGGGCTAAACCATACTTGGTCTTAAGCGTATGGCTGAAATGTGGAGCTATTTATAAAGGTTTAAATGACTGCATAAAATATCACACACAAAATGAGCGAGTGCTAGTAACGGATTAGTCAGGTGGAGGATAGGTAAAATTCAGACAACCTAGTGGCTGACATCTTTTTGCGGTGTCTCTGGTCGTCAAGTGGATACAGATGAGCCATGTATCTTGTCAACCAAACATTAAAATTAAAGCCACAGGTTCTAGGTCTCAATTATGGTGGCAATTCTGAATATTACTCGACTAAATCTTCCTTTTAGCATCATAAAACGAATATTATCGTGCTCATTAACT